AATATATTTTGTCTAGTGACAGGGTTGACTTTTTCCCAAACTGGATGTGGAGTAGAGCAGTATAGTGGGGAGTGCGAGGAGCCGACATGTACTGACTAACAATGTGAACAGCATAGGCAATGTCAGGTCGAGTCACTGTGAGATAGACAAGACTACCGACGAGCTGACGATAAAGAGTAGCATCAGGAAGGAGAGCCCCGTCGAGAGGAGTGAGACGAATATGAGGATCAACTGGAGTAGATGTAGTTTTGCAATCAGTAAGACCAGCACGAGCCAGAAGATCAGATGCATATTTGGCCTGAGATAAATAAGAACCAGTAGAATCATGAGAGACTTCAAGGCCTAAAAAGTAGTTAAGAGTACCAAGGTCTTTCATCTCAAACTGACGGTGGAGAAAACGTTTGAGGTGGAGAATACCAGCTACATCATTACCAGTGATAATCATATCATCCACATACAGAAGGAGAAGAGTGGTACCATGAGGAGTAGTCCGTAGAAAGAGAGCAGAGTCATAGGAGCTAGAGGTGAACCCGAAGTCATGAATGGTAGAACTGAACTTAGCAAACCAAGCGCAGGGTGCTTGCTTGAGGCCATAGAGGGCACGCTATAGTTTGCAAACCTTCTGAGGGGGAAAGTTAGACCCAGGTGGAGGTTGCATATAGACCTCCTCAAGAAGGTTACCATTGAGAAAGGCATTTTTGACATCCATTTGAAAGAGCGTCCAGTGGCGAGCAGCAGCAACAGCCAGTAAACTGCGAACAGAGGTAAGCCGAGCAACAGGGGAGAAGGTTTCGTCATAATCAATCCCATATTCCTGGTTGAAACCCTTGGCAACAAGACGAGCTTTGTAGCGTTCAATAGAGCCATCAGAATGAGTCTTGATTTTGTAAACCCATTTGCAGCCAATCGCAGTTTTGCCAGGAGGAAGGTCAACATGATCCCAAGTATGAGTTTTGTCCAAAGCCTGAAGTTCATCAGTCATAGCTTGCTGCCAAAGAGGATTAGTACAAGCCTCACGATAGGAGGTAGATTCATAAGTAGAAAAGGCAGCAGACCCAACAATATAATCACGAAGGTGGATAGGAGGTTGAGTTACCCGGTGTGGTCGACCCGTAAGAGGATCGGTGGGAGGAAGAACCGGCGGAGAAGAAGGTGATGCAGGGAGAGGTGGACCTTCAGGGAGAGCAGTTTGGTCGGGAGCAGGAGTGAGCAAGGGTGTCTCAATGACGGAGGGACCTGTATCAAAATCATCAGAGAAGAGATCGATGGAAGGATTAGTAAACAGTATATTAGTGGAAGGTGCAGGTAAGTGAAAGGAGGATAGGGAGGAAAACATTTGGTGCTCCCAAAAAACGACATGGCGGGAGATACGAAGACGTTTAGAGAGAGGGTCCCAACAGCGAAAGCCTTTATGTTCAATTCCATACCCAAGAAAGCAACAAAGACGAGAACGCGGTTCAAGCTTGGTGCGTTCATGAGATTGAAGGAGAACAAAGCAGGTAGAGCCAAAAACCCGAAGATTAGCATAGGGAGGGGGAGTGCCATGCAGACGTTCAAAGGGAGTTTGATTGTGGATGATAGGGGAAGGAGCACAATTGATAGTGTAGACAGCAGTGAGGGCAGCTTCCCCCCAAAAGTTTTCAGGGCAGGAAGAAGAGAGAAGGAGAGCGCGAGTAGTGTCAAGAATATGCCTATGTTTCCGTTCAGCACGGCCATTTTGCTGGGACGTGCCAGCACAGGAACGATGAGGCAGTGTACCATGACTCTGAAGAAAAGAAAGGAAATCTGAATCCCGATATTCCATAGCATTGTCAGAGCGAAAAAGTTTGATGGTTTTGGAAAATTGGGTGTGGATCATTTGGGCAAAGCGATAATAAAGGGTTTTGAGGTCAGACCGAAGAGGCTAGAGAGATTATTGACTGAGGGTGAAAGAGAATTTCAGACAGAGATAAGAGTTATTGGGAGAGCCCATCACCGAAACCTAGTTCAGATGATTGGTTATTGCCTTGACGGACCTAATAGGCTTCTGGTATATGAGTACATGCGTAATGGATCACTTGCAAATTTCATCTTCACACCCGAAAATCGGCCAAGTTGGGATGAAAGAATTGGAATTGCTCTCGACATTGCCAGAGGCATACTCTACTTGCACGAAGAGTGCGAGACGCAGATCATCCATTGTGATATAAAGCCGCAAAATATATTAATGGGTGATCATGGGCGTGCCAAAATTTGTGACTTTGGCTTGGCAAAGCTTTTGAAGCCAGACCAGACAAAGACTTTCACGGCAATGAGAGGAACAAAAGGTTATGTCGCGCCTGAATGGCACCGGAAGTTACCAGTAACAGTCAAAGTAGATGTTTACAGCTTTGGAGTTATGTTGTTGGAGATCATATGTTGTAGAAAATGTTTGGAGTGGAGCCTTGCTGAGGAAGAAGCTGTCCTTGAAGAATGGGTTTATGATTGTTTTCAAGCCAAGGAGCTTCATAAACTATTGGTTGATAAAGAAGAGGTGGAAACAGTACCAACATGACGAACAGACATGAGTGAACCATCAGCAGTATGTATTGAGGGAATATGAGGAGATGAAGAGATGGAAGAAAATATAGTTGAACTGGAGGTCATATGATTACAACAGGCAGAATCAAAATACCAAGAAGAGTTACCTGGAATTACAGACAAAGCAGTAGGAGGAGGTGTACCAGAAGGGGAGAGAAGGTGTTTGAACATGGCCTCGACATCCGTTGGAGAAAAGAGAGGGGTAGACGGAGCCGGAGACTCAGAAAAACCCTCAGCGGCAGCAGCAGCAGTGGCGGTGTGAGGAGACTGATTGCCAGAATGAGGTTGATTCCTGGAACGATGAAAGCTCCCCCGAGAAGAACCACCCGCGAGAAGAGTGGCTGTTGAAGGATGAGCGGGATGGATGGCGAAAGCAATCCTGTTGCAGATGACCAGGACTAAGTTTGTTGCAATATCGGCAGGTTCTGACTGGGCAATTGACTAGGAGATGTGTGGAAGGAAGGCCCCGATTCTGACAATAGAGACAGGCAGTGGTCCGCTGGGGGAATGATGGCCGGTACGGGGGAGTAGCAAGAACAGAGTCCACATGATGAGTTTGGAGAGTACCAAGACGAGTCTCTTCTGATAGCAACTCAGAAATAGCTTGTTCCAGAGTGAGCAAGGGATGGCGATGAAGAAGAGAGGCACGTACGGGCTCGAAAGATGGAGTGAGAGCCATGAGAAAGTGCACCAACCTTTGCTGATTACGATAAGCATTAAATAAAACAACATTTTCTTGGTGAGGCCAAGTCGGTTCGGAAAGAGCAAGTTGGTCCCAAACGGAGTACATTTGAGAAATGAAGTCATTGATGGACTGACTAGATTCTTGGCGCATCCGATGAAGTTGGCTCTGAAGTTGATATTGATGAGCAAGACCAGTAGTCTGGTATCGTTCTTTCAAAAAATCCCAGATGTCTTTTGCAGGAGTAGTGACAGAGTCAAGCTGAAAGCGACCAAACTGAAGACTGATAAAGATAACAGAAGTATTTCGAAACCTGGTAATGATTTGGTAATTCTTACTGTCCCAGTCCTCAAGGCGATCTTCATATGTAGGAGTAGCAGGGGAAATAGTGGTTTCAGCAGTGTCTTTGACCGGTTGGGTCATGTCCCCGGTGATAATTCGCCAGAGCTTCTTTCCTTTGAGGAAGGAAGACATGGCTTGGGCCCATAGAACATAGTTGGAACCATCCAAAATAACGGAAATGGGATGGGAGGCATCAGGACGATCCATAATAATAGTGGAGTAGGGCTAAATGGATAGGGAGAGACCTGTAGGAGCAAAATTAGGTAAAACAGAGTGTACCAGTGAGTCCGGAAGGTCGAAAATAGCTAGGAAAGGTGGGCTGTGTAGGGATGATGTCAGCAGGGTGGAAAATGAGGTCAGCGGCGCACGTTAGCAGGAAGGGCGTGCGGCGCACGGTAGCAGAGGGGGCTGGCAGCGTATGTTAGCAGAATGGCGCACGCGGGTGCACAATAGCGGAACGGCGCACAC